CTGTTTATTCATAGTCTGTAATAATTAAGTGTCTGGGCGCAAGTGCTGTCTACTACTAGCAGCTGGACTTAGTCCTTTGCTTTTTCTCTCTTTGCTCATCTTGTTGTATACACGTAGCTCCACCTAGAGAAGCATTAGGACTATCTACACCCTTTTCCAAACAAGATTTCCAACGTCCATAGATTCCAGTAGAAAATCATGTTTGACAGTCGGTCTCTGCATAAATACTTTCCTGACCACTCCACCCCACTTCTCAGTGGGTTTGCTGCTACATTTCGTTTTCACACTTTTTATGATTCTCAAGGAGTGATTTTCTCCAACCTTTTTGCAGGGCGAGTGTCTTGGTGGGGGCGCCCAAAGCCAACACCAGCCAGCCGGATATCGTGGAAGGGGGCGCTGTCTATTATTGCCCCTGGCCAGCTGAGGGATCTGCTCAGTGCAAGCAGATACCTTTTGACACCACCAGTAAGTGATCTTTGTCATTCTGAGCTGCGGGCCCTGGTTTCAAAGCAGCAGAGCCTTCCTGGAGTCAACTTCCCACTTTTCTTTGTACTCATTTGGCCTGTCTGGTGTGTTTGTGTCTGTGAGCTAGGCAGATCCCTAGAGAATTCAGCTTGTTCAAGCGTGAGTAAAGGCGAGGACAATGTTTAGTGCATCCTCGAGAGGGCACTTGAGTATTTGGATGCAGCCTAGTAACTTCTGTTTCCTTAATGTCCTGAGATGAGCGTTTTCAGAATGAGTGGATGCTTTGGAGAAGTACAAATATTACACCCTAACCTTGACCATGGAGAGAATTTGGTTGTTTCCCAAGGACAGATGTAGAAAACGCATATCTTTACCGTTTACGTGCCCCAACTCCAAGGCAAGTCTTAGCTGCTGCAGACCCAGACTTCACTCTATGTTGCTATTTAATTCTTTACAGAAAGAAAGAATTTTCTTTCAAAATATTGGACATTGGATGCAAACTAGTACAGGCAGAGTGTGGATGGATTACATTCATTTCCAAAATCCCTAGACAGATGTTTCTTATTTAATTAAAGGGAAAATACATTTTAAACAATTCAGGCTGGTTTTGTTTTCTCTTTGGGTCCTGAGAAAATAATTTAAACTTAACGCTTTTAAAAACATTAACATTGAATGTTTTAATTTGTACTACCAAAACTTCATGAATAAAAAATAGTTATACTTTATCAGAAAGCAAATATCTCTTTTACAAAAATATGTGAATATATCGACTCAAATAACATTGTTTTATGAACAGTCATTTAAAATACCTTTTGTAGCACACAAATAGGTAATAACATCATTCTTAATCTCTTTTTACTTTTTATTGTTAAATTAGTGTATATTTAGAATTTGTGTTGAATATCCATTTTCACAGAATTTTGATGAAATTGGATGAGTGGTATTTACCTATTACTGTGAGTTATTTGTATCTTTTTTTATTTTCTTAAAGAAGAAAATAATATCCATTCTATGAATGGAAATCATTTCAAAGAAAAAAAAGCATATGCAGACATCAATTTGAATTATGAGAAAATTAGGAAAGCATCTTAAAATTATGTTTGTTGTATCTATGTATATATGGTCACAATACTTTATTTACCATTTTGTTAAATAATACAGTTACTTCTTACCATTTATTATAAGCTTTTAATTTTAGCTATTAGAACCTGGAAAAATTAAGCCTCCTGACTTAATTTGTGCCATTTAGTTACTGATCTCTAGGTTGAGAATAAACTTAAATCAGAAGAATTAAGCATTTAAACATAAAACTAATACCATTTTAATAACCCATGCCAAATCTATTGTATTTTAAAGTCAAACCTTGAAAAATAAAGGCATGAAATGCTGATATTATTTGAGTTTGTTTAACTTAGTCTCAATAAATATTTACATTTGAGGCATTTTTAATTTTTTTATCAAGGAGTAGTCTATAGTCATGGAAATGACTTTAATAATCTTCTAGAACATTCCTGTAATATATCAAATCAGGATCTAGTTAGCATGTTCTTCCTTATAAAGGAAGAACCGAAATCTGGCCAGTTAAATCATACCTGGGTACCTTCCTCAACTAATCCCGGTAGATATTGTGATTCCATAGATGAAAACAAGAGGATTCAGACATCAATATGAATTTTTAAAACCTCTCCACTCTCAACATAAATCTTCAATGTTAAATTAAAAATAGGTAGTAGTTTTCAAAATTTCATTCTAAAGCAATTGTTTGGAGCTTTGAATTCACTTTCCCATAGAGAACTAATGCTGAAAGATTGTGCTTTGCTTTCCAGAATAACCCACAGGAATGCACTTAACCCTTATTGTAGCTGAGTTGTATTTACAATGAAGCAGAAAAGAAAAAAACAGTACAATTTGGACAATTAAACAAATAGGCAAATAATAAGAATGTTGAGAAATGATCCATTTTAATTGGAGAAAGATGAGGCATAGATGGTATCTTTTGTGTAAATTCTGAGGAAGACATCTGGATATCTTAAATGGCTCTAGAGATTAATGCTGCTGGTCCTACATCATGTCTTGTTTTACCTCCAAATGTATGTTTTTTTTTTCTTTATGAATAGATTCACTTACTGTACTTGTTATAGTTATCAATCATTATCACAGTGATTTGGAAACTCACAAATCTCCAACAGAGTGAGGTAAAGAAATAGTGAGGGAAATAGATGTTTGACAAATAATTGGATAGGAATTGAAATAGTAATAATAATACTAAGGAAAAAAAGAAAAGGAAGGGAAGGCCACACAGAGTTTGAAGAAGTGAATGGTCCATGATGGAATGAACAATGTGCAGTGACTTGTGGAAAACTGGGAGAGTTTTATTGTGAGAGAAGACAGTAATACTTGAGAAAAGAAAATTCCCCTTGTCAGCCATCAGGGGGTACTGTGAGCCCAGGAACCTTGGCTCCTAATGGGAATGGGTGGAAAAAGGCATCAGAGGACCACAGCTCAGGTATTTGTTACTGAGTGAGTGCCAGCACTCTGTCTCACTCCACCAGTTACTTCAGTATGTGTCCTGAGACCATGCAACTGGCAGAGGCTGCCTTTGATGAGAAGCTGGGGAAGAGAGGAAGGTACAACAGAAGCCGGTACAGCTCTTTCCAATTTGAATGTCAGTTTTGTGGACAGAGAGTGATCTTGGAACCAAAGATGAAAGGCAAAACAAAGACATTGTTGACTCTGGGTCTTGCAGTCAATGTTGCCAGATGTACAATATTTATTGATCACCTACTATGTACCAATCACTTTATATATATCATTCCTAGTGTGTAAAACAAACAACCATGCAAAACTTATTTTATGAAAAAGGAAATTGACATCACAGTTGTTAAAAGAGATATGTTCAAGAACATACAAGGGTAAGCAGTTGAAGCAGGGTTGGAGTAGGAGGTCTGCCTACTCCAAAGCCTGTGTCTTTATACTTCCCTGCCTTCTTTCTGGAAAGGGGTAGGATTGTGCATAATGGAGTACAAATTTGGGATCACCCCCGGGTCCCATGGAATCCTGGTAAGATTGCATGGTGCTAAAGCATTGCCCACCTGCCTTCCTTCCCTCTGCTTCCCCATCCCAACATTAGCTTTACAAAATTACCATTAAAGTGATCCTTCGGAGAAGATCTAAGGAGCCCTGGTAGCACAAAAAGAGCTCAGCTGCTAACTGAAAAGTTGCTGGTTCAAAGCCATCTGCTGCTCTGTGGGCCAAAATACCTGGCAATCTGCTCCTGTAAAGATTACAGCTTAGGAAACCCTATGGGGCAGTTCTACTCTGTTACATGGGGTCTTCGTGTGTCAAAATTAACTCGACAGCACACAACTATAACAAAGAGAAGCTCTGAAAGGAAAAAACAGTTTTTGCAGAAGGTTGTGGAAGCCAGGAAGTCATAGAAGCAGGCATTGTCTCACTGGGAATTATGGGTTATATATAACCCTTGGAGTCCCCGGGTGATACAAATGGTTAATGTGCTTGGCTGTTAACTGAAAGGTTGGGTGTTCAAGTCCACCCAGAGGTGCCTGAGAAAAATGGCCTAGTGTTCTACTTCCAAAAAATCAGTTGTTTAAAATCCTATGGGATACACAGCTGTACTATGACACACATGGGGGTCACCATTAGTCAGAGAAGACTCTGTGGCAGCTGGTTTTTTATATGTTCTTCTCGTAGTGCTATGATTAAGGCATTGGGCTACTAACCAAAAGATCAGTAGTTTGAACCCACCGGCTGCTCTGCAGGAGAAAGGCAAGGCAGTCTGCTTCTGTAAAGATTTACAGCCTTGGAAATCCAAGGGGGGTCGCTATGAGTTGGAATCAACTCAGTGGCAGGGGGTCGGTTTTGTTTGCTAAAGCTTTTCCACAGAAGGCCTCCTCGGTGTCCCCAGTCAGCTGCCTCCAGAGTAACACTCTGCACAGAACCAGTACCTGACGGTTTCCTCACCAAAAGGAAGAAAACGTCTCTGCTTGACAAAGTAATGGCTCTGAGTGATGGATACCCCAACTCACTTTCACATAATACAGTGTGAAGTGTTAGGCATAACAATATGTACAATATGGCAAATATTCCTCTGTAAAAGCATGAATGACTTTCCTTTGTCTGCTTTTGCTATTACATCTGAATTCAAGACAGGCTTAGTAAATTTGACCTTTTAATGAAGTTGTTTCAACTTATTCAGGCCCCTGGGATGTCAATAATCTACCATTCTGCCTGGATAACCTTCTAAATACCTTCAGCCTAGGCATGGAGGGAGAATGGCCTATAACTTAGTCTCTGAATCAGGTTTGCAATTCTGTACTTCAGTTTATTTAAGGTCAACTTTAAAAAACTGCCTTTTAGTTTGGGACAAAGTTTATCAAATTATCTTTATTTTATTTTACCTTATCATATAACTTGATATAATTTGGACTTAAAAAAAAATTCTCATGATAAATGCAAACACAGAGGAAGCTTAGAATAGCCTAGCACTTCAAATGCATGAACACTATTAAAATCTGTAGTCCTTTTAAGTATGGAAAAAGGAAACTTGGGGGAAGCATATGGTGGTGGGGGAGGTGCAAAGAATAGATAATTTTCCAGCTCTGTACAAAATCAAGTGGTTCCAAAAACACACTTCTCTCATCTCCCTTCTTACTTCAATAGCGTAAAATTCCTCCCCATCATCAAATTGATTTCTTTCACTTTTGCCTTAGGAACACTGTAAACTATGTCCATGTCTTAAACAGTTTAAAATGTCACATCTGCCAAATTCATGCCTCTTGTTTCTAAGTCTACTCTGATGGTCATTTCATTTTTCCTTCCTACATTTTCCAAACTAATTTATGAATCAAATAAGGATTAATAGATTATGACACCCCAGGCCCCCCAAAGGAAGCAGAATGGAACAAACCCATCAACCTTCGGAGTAATGAAAGGGCAAATTGCAGCAGCAACAAAAGCATACTACACAAATATTCAATTGT